AACCTTTGGGGGAAAAACTGGGGAGATAAGTGCTGTGATCATACTCCCAAATTATCCATTTGGCTTGTAGTCATTCTGATTTATGAAATAGGTCTTAATTTTAAAAGCCAATAATGTCCTACTGATCACAGATGAGAGTGGAAAAAAGAAACATAGGCAATTCTAGAAAGGAAAAAAATTCTCTGGGATGAGATCACTTGCTGAAGTGGGGGAGGTACCTTTTGCTGAGACTCATTCTCTTATCTTGCCAAAGTATTACAACATCTGAATGAACATGGTTTGACATTCTTACTTTAGAGTGTTTACACAGTTATTTTGATGTTCTCATTTGATAGTATGCTTAATATTGCAGGAAAGTGTGTATATTTATCCATGGGTACAAAGCAAGAATCCTTCGGTAGATATTCAGTTAATTCGAATAGAAAGTTAGACATTCTAAGTCTGAATAATTTATGGATAAACAGGGACTCTGCTTATGAAAAGCTCTGCCTCAGTGAAATCTCCATAGTCAGGGAATACACTGGACTCAAAGGGCAAGAGTTTACCCAGGCATGGTTGCCAATACCCATTTCTATAATAAAGTCACTGATGAGTTCCTAATTGCCAAAAACGGAGTTTCTTTGCTTTTAGCTTGCTTAGCCACTGGGCATCACTGGAACCGGCGCCGGCTTGAATGCACCCAGTCCTTCCTGTGTCTGGAGTCTCACCAGAGTCATGTCATTTCTTCCCGTCTTTTGTCATTTACGATGAGTGCTCCCAAGGGATGCATTAAACACCTTTTTCTCCCCGTTCTACCTGTTTCCCTCGGGGATCTTGTCCAAGCTTCTAGTTTTAACTATGTCTATAATGCTGGCAGATCCCAGCCTGCACCCCCATCCTCCTGACCTTCCTCAGTTCCAGGCATCCAGCTTCCTACCAGCCCTGTCCTCTGCCTGCTGCAGTAGAATGCTTTCCCTCTCAGCCCCTCCAATCCTTCTCAATCCAGCATCCAGAGGAATCTTCCTAAAACACAGCTGATGGCGTGAGGGCAACCAGAGTGGCCCGGTCTGACAGCTACTTATCTGTTAGCAAGAAAAGGCCAGCAAATTCCGGAATTTGGCATTTATTGAAAGAAAGTGACATTTCATAAAAAAGAAGAACGCTTCACTCTTTTCAGGACTTTGCCATGAGATAGCCACGGGGCCGCCACGCCACATGAGATTTCACAGACACACCCTGTCATTGCAGAGCACCGTGCAAAGTCTTCTGTGGAACATGATGTGATCTGTAAAGTCGCTCACCCGGCTTGCACTAACCACAAAGTGTCCCAGTTCATTGAAAGTGAAAGAATGAGGGCCGGGTCACCTCCCACCCTCCCTCCCTCCCTCCCTCCCTCCCTCCCTCCCTTCCTCCCTCCCTCGGGGCCCCTCCCTGTACTTAACTGTGTGTGACAGCTGCCGGATGTCCCTGTTGCACAGGGACTGCCGGGTGTTAAACACTAGCAACGTTTTTAAGTATTTTACCAACCGTGTGGGCAAAAGAAGTAGAAATCGAATGTTTATTTCTTTTCCGTATTCCAGTGGTTTGCCCTGCATCTCCATCTTGAAGATCCCCAGCTCTCAAATCTTGTAGGCAGGGAATTTTATATTCCTATCCTCAGCAACCTCAGTGTCTGCCCCAGGTGGCACTTGAGAGATGGCAGGTGAATGAGTATATTCACTAAAGAATCCTGGATCTCTTTTATTCTCTTCAGTCACTGTAATTTGAGAAGCGTGTCTTTGCTGGAGAAAAGTACCTTTTTTTTTTTTTAAGTATTCTTCATTTTGAACTTTATTTTCTGAATTGTGTTGATAACTTTTGAAGGATGTAGAAGCAGGTTTGATAGGTCTCAGGTAATTCAATCACGATGCTTCAGGACATAGCTCCAAACCTTTTTTTTAACCTGTCCTACCTTTTGTAGGCATACAGACCTCATGCCTGAGATTCATATATGCCCTTTCAAAACGGTTGATAGCATAAGTCCTGTCTTCTAACTAGGAAGGTGGGGCTGTCCTTTCTGGAGTTTCCATTTTAAAATGCATTTCATTTGCTAAGTACAAAGTTGTGAGGTTCCTTATAACTCTGCAAGTCCTATCTGTCCTCCATCTCCCGGTCCGTATTCTGAGACCTGTCCCCCATCCACACTCCCTGAGAAAGCATTGACTTCAGCAAAGTAGTTTTCATGGTATCTAAACCCTCCGCATTCCCACGTGCTTCACGCTGAATGCCTGCATATCTGTGTCTTGCGATTGTTTTAACATTTGGTCTTCTGCCTGGGGAGTGGGCGGTTCGCTGAAAGCTGCTTCCACTCAAGTCTCAGCAGAGAAGGCAATATTTTGTTACGAGTAAAGTTTCAAGCCAGGCTTTGGCCAGGGTCCTTCCCATTAGGGAGGAAGAAAGTAGAAACAGCCAGTGAGATGATAATTCTTCTTGAATCGTAGCTCATTAAAAACCTCGCCTGGGCCTTCGTGGGTTATTTATTGATTTAAGCATCTAGCACTTTTCCTTTCCAGAAAGATTAGCATCTCCGATGCGATCACGGCTGGGGGAGGAGATTTTGGCCTTTGCGGGATCAACTGCCCCCCCGCCCAGTTGCTTGTTAGCACAGCCCGTTTTCGAGCCGAGTCTAGGTACACAGTTAAGGGGTCGGAATGAGATTCCCGAGATTTATCGGTAATGAAAAGAACAGGTTGTACGGAAGACACCACATGTAGGAAACTAAGTGCTCTTAGGGGACTCAATTAAACCTGTGATCCTTGGCTTTTTCCGAAATGAACATTGCAGTCTTGTACATATTAACTTCCTTTTTGTAGATGTTTTAACATGTTCTGTTTTTGCCGCCGTCGAGCGTGGAAAGTGCAGCGAAATGGCGTTTCTTATTCGCCGATCACTCGCCACCCGCTAAGCCTCTGTGTTTCGGGTCTTACTGCGGTTGAGTGTCTGCAGCGGTAAAGGAACACAGATGTTTTCTTATCAGATGTTTAAAATCCTCTTTCCATAAGAGCACATTTTCCCCCTAAATGTACCATCACCTGCAAGCCTGGCTGCCTTTCAGCTCTATCTGTACAGAACCCATGGGGCGTTAACGCACTCGATTGCTGGGAATATTGTCTGTAAACCTCTTAATTCGGGCTCCCAGTACTGTGACTTGGGCATTAAAAGAGTGGTCTTTCCAGTAGGGATCTCTTTTTGCATGTGATTAATACAGACTCACAGAGATACCATTTTAACGTATTCCTCTTCCTGTGCCTTAATGAAGGGCGGTGCTGAAAAGCAGTGAGCACCTTCGGGCCTCATAGCGGTACTCACTGAATTGCTCTCCCCTATTTGCATGATCCAGCTGATCAGGTGTTTCTGGGATGTTAACCTGTGCATTTAAATTTTCACCATGCTTCTCCTCTATCACGGGAGCTCGGAGCTGCTCTAGATCTTGGCTTTTTTGTTCCCAAGATTCCTGAGACTTTAGCTGATGCAGCCTCTCGCCCAAACAGTGTTACAGACTCGGGCTGAGGAGCTGGCCTGGTCCTTCCCCATGATCTTCAGCGATCAGCATGTCCAAGCTGAGAGCGGATGAGGACCATTGGAGCCCGTTCACTTCTTGGGCTGTTGGGTGGTTGGGTGAGGGTGGTGGCACTGGGGGTGATTTTGTGTTTTGTCTTGCATTCCTGTCTGTTTGATTCTGAAGAGTCTGCAGTCAGTTGCAGGGCATTGAAGTCTGTGGAAAAAGCAGTGGGGGAGGGGCCATGAGCACTACAGAGTGGAGGGCTGTCAGCTTCCCTCTCTTTCTGCCTCATAGAGTATTGAGTATTCCAAGGCTGCGTTCGCTAGGGAGACAGGACATACCATAGAGGTACTTACACTCCCTGAGCCTCAGTTTACTTGTCCATTAAATGGGTATAATGAAACCAACCTCACGTATTTGTGAGCTGACGTGCAGTTATTGGTATTTTCCCCATGGGTCTACGATTCCTTCTTCAGCTCTCTCCCTCCACATATGGATCCACTTGGAAGTCTGGTTGTTTAGTTGGTACTGGGACAGGTGGTCATTCTTCTGTTGAGGCCAGAACCAACCTCTCACCCTACTTCATAACCGTCCTTCCAGACATGTTCCTCCTGTGCTGTGTTACCAAAATACAAACAGGGCAGACATGTGAATGTCTTTTGTAGTAGTGGTTGCATTGTTTCCTTTTTCTTTAAGAAAAAAAAAACAACAAACAGTTTGACAAGAGACTAACCAGGACCTCAAGGAAAATGAGATTCTTGCTTGAGCTCTTGAAAATCTGTCCGTGGATCTAGTACCAGTTCCATATGGGTCTAATTTTGATTATGCAGTTGTACAGGCCGGAAGGCTCCCTGCACTGGTCAGATCTTCAAGTGGCTTCATTGCGACCAGCACCATCTCCCCGCTAAGGCAGGATGCTGCATGAGTCAGGATGCTGTCCACCCGCTTCAGCTTGCAGTCTCCTCCTCCCATCAGTGCAGTTTCCTTGGCCCCATCCTTTTTCTTGGTATTGCAGTTAGTGTTGAAAACATGTAAATGATAAGACTACACGTAGTATATATGCTGAAGTGACTGCCCTGAAGAAATTTTTTTTTTTTTTAATAAGAGTAAACACTTTATTTTCTTTGTTGCTGTACAGATCACAATGACGGAACTGTCCTTCTTAGTTCCCCACATGCCACATCCCAGGGATCGAACCCGAGCCCCCTGCAGTGGAAGCAGAGTTTTAACCACTGGACTGCCAGGGAAGTCCCCCTGAAGAAATTTTTAAAGCTTCCTTTTTTTTTCTAGGATATGATCACGTTTGGTTTGTACTAATATGAGCTACATTAGTAAATTAGTAAAGTGATTCTGTCAGTGCATCCGTGTGGAACTGAACTCTGAAGATTGTTGTCTGTTACATTGAAGGCATTTGGCGTTGATCGTCACGTCTTTATGCTACAGTTGACAATGTGTGTGGTGTTTTTCTTTTTCTTTCTAGCTTCATGAGGCTGACATTGTGATCTTGGGCTCACCCAAGCCGGAAGAGATTCCCCTTTCTTGGATTCAACCAGGAACTACTGTTTTCAACTGTTCCCATGACTTTCTGTCAGGTAAATGTCTTCAAATTGGTACCAGGCCACTGATCAAAATAGGTGAGATTGCTAAGAAGAGTCTGTTCCTGAAATGATGGTTGCTGTCAACATACCTACATAGGTAATGTGCCTGCCTTTTGGATTACTTGATACTGGAACCACATTGCCGGGCAAAGAGCAGCCAAGGTGCCAGCTGCAGTAAGGGCCTCTCCTCCTCTTCTGTTCTTCCCCCTTCATCAGCATGTCCCCTGCTGGCCTCTAGCATCAAGCAGTCGAGTCGGTTGTGGCCTAAAGTAGGAATTTTTTACGTGTGTGAGGTAAACTAGAAACAGTGGTTTTCACAGTCTTTCAAAAAACAGCTGAGGGCTTCCCCGGTGGCGCAGTGGTTGAGAGTCCGCCTGCCGATGCAGGGGACACGGGTTCGTGCCCCGGGCCGGGAAGATCCCACATGCCGCGGAGCGGCTGGACCCATGAGCCATGGCTGCTGAGCCTGCGCGTCCGGAACCTGTGCTCCGCAACGGGAGAGGCCACAGCAGTGAGAGGCCCGCGTACCGCAAAAAAAATCCGAAAAACGGCTGAATCCTTTCTCCTAAAGCAGTCTTAGGTGAACCTCAACACGTAAAAGCAGATGAAAACACAGCTACCAGAGGGATGGGAGTGGAGACTAGCTCCCCTGTGTTTGTAATTTCCCTTTGCAGTGACCCCCTCAAGCACTCCCTTGGAGCCGCAAAGTCACTTCAAAACACTGTGAAAGTCACCCTTAGAAACCGAAGATGTCTTAGGATGGGTGCTGGTATTTGATGGTATTTGCCAAGGGACCCAGGAATGTCCTGGACCGCATCAGGTCACCCTCAGGGTAGCTGAAGCTGTGCCAGCCCCAGGGCACTCAGCCCAGGCGCCAGTAGGGACACCCTTTTCTCATTCACAGAAAGACACTCAGGCTAAGAGAGCTTTAGCACACCCAGCCCACCCCCTCAAGACCCTGAGTGACATGTGTATGCAAGAGACAATTGCAGAGGGAGACAGAGAACCCTCTTTGTTACCCGTGGCCTCCAAATTTCAACATGTGATAGGGGAGGCTGTACTGAACTGTCCAGGAGGATGGCGTTTTTTCCCGCAAAGCTGGTCAGAACTTGGACCAAAAGGAGCAGAGGTCTCTACCGGTACCACACTGGAGTTCTAGACCTTGAAACTTAGGCAGCCCCGGAACACAGAGTGAAGTAGAGAATAGTATCAAGGAGAAAATAAATGTAACTTCTGATCCAGTCACCTTGAGATAACCATTTTACATTTTTCCATTAAAAAAGCACTAAACTTAATTTTATTGAAATACAATGGAAAGAAAAGAAAGTAATATGCTAAAAGCTCTACTGAAATTCATTTAACTGTTTCTTCAAAAAGAGAAATAATGCACCTTCCTCTCTGGGAAATGTAGCTCCTCCCAGAATCGACCAATCAGATTAAAAACCCCTTGGAGCTGAAGGGCTAGGGGGTTGTTTGGGGTGCTTTGAAAGGAAGATGCTCAAGAATTTCCCCAAATGCTCATGTACTCAGTTCACAGATGAGCACACACATGAATAAAGCAGTTTGAGGTACAATATAATACGAATGTAGGATTAATGGCTCTTTTTAGCAAATAGAAGGCATGTGCTAAATTACTTCTTTGAAATATATGTAATTTCTGGGTATAACTTCTTTTATTTTTCCCTGAAAAAAACAATGCCTAACCCATTAATAGTGGAAATGCACTATAGATTTGCTCAGAATCCTAGTTGGACTAGGATAGTCAGTTATGACTCTATTATTTTTTTTAATGAATGTTTCCTTGCTATAATGTTTACTTGCTGTTTTTTATTAGAGTTTATATGTTTAGGACAATTTTGGTACAATCCTGGCTGGAGATAGGAGAGTCTGCTTCAGTGTTCTTTGGGAATCCCCATGAGCCATATGTTTTATTGGTGAAACGGTGCCCCATTTCTAATAAGTTTCTTTTTAGGACTTTTATTTTTTAAAGGCATTTTAAAAACATTAGATTTAGTTGTAACAGTTCTCTTGAGGGAAAAAAATAAGACCAAGCATTATGTTTTAACAATTCTGTATGTAGACTGATTGCAGTTAGTTTATTTTCAATTTATCTGGTCCAGTAGTAGTGGTTTTATTGATTTTTGAATGCCCAGTGCCCAGAACGGTGCCGACGCGTAGGAAGGGATCAGTAAATACTGAGTGAATAAACATGGACTCAGAATTGTACTCTAATTGATTGCACTTTTTTTTTTTTTGCGGTACGCGGGCCTCTCACTGTTGTGGCCTCTCCCGTTGCGGAGCACAGGCTCCGGACGCGCAGGCTCAGCGGCCGTGGCTCACGGGCCCAGCCGCTCCGCGGCCTGTGGGATTTTCCTGGACCGGGGCACGAACCCGTGTCCCCTGCATCGGCAGGCGGACTCTCAACCACTGCGCCACCAGGGAAGCCCTGATTGCACTTTTAAGTTAGTTGCAGATATAGAGACATTTCCTTGAACTTGTATCCCACTTAAAAACAGGGCTGACGGCACAAAGGCAAAGATGAAAAATGCTACTCTGATTAAATGGATGAACGTTTTCCAGTCAGTACTGTTTATGATAGCATTACATTTCTCAGTTGTCAAAAGTTTTTTTGTTTTGTTTTGTTTTCGCTGCTGAGTGTGGGCTTTCCCTAGTTGCGGTGAGCAGGGGCTACTCTTCGTTGAGGTGCACGGGCTTCTCATTGTGGTGGCTTCTCTTGTTGTGGAGCACAGGCTCTAGGCGCACGGGCTTCAGTAGTTGCAGCATGTGGGCTCAGTAGTTGTGGCACATGGGCTTAGTTGCTCCACGGCATGTGGGATCGTCCCGGACCGGGGCTCGAACCCATGCCCCCTGCATTGGCAGGTGGATTTTCAACCACTGCACCACCAGGGAAGTCCAAGACTTTTAATTTTAGCAACTTTAATTAGCATGAAAATTTAATCTATGAGTAAATTGGAGAAAGGCATTTTCCCTCTCTTTTATATATAACTTTCCACTTTAAACAAATGAAGATCTTTTTCAAACATTATTAAAAGGAAAGTTGCTTTTATTTAAACTTCAGAGAAAAAGAATTTTTAATACACTTATGATTGGGTGAAGGCAGGGCTTTATAATGAAATTTTCATGGTCATCTTAATGGTGCAGGCTTCCCCTTCCCACCGCCCCTTGTAAAAATAGATAGAATATGGTGATTTATGATGAGGTAATTCTATAGAGCCATTTTATTGAATACCTAATCCCCAGAGAGATTTGCCTGATGGCTGATATCCCAGAAGCAGTGCTCGGAAAACAATTACACCTAACTTGTTGGATCTGTTCACTCTTCTATGGCATGAGTCTAATGTTTAGATTGAAAACAGGGACATAGCAGTGTTCAGTTTTCTAGCTGTGAGAATAATTTTCTTTTTAAAACAATTATTTCAAATGAAGGGAGTGGGCTGTGACTTTGTAATGCTGTGCTTGCGAAAGGTCAGGAATCACCCTAAGCAACGCCGCCGTGCACTCTGATATTCAAACTTACTTCCTGATGTACCAAGTGGGACAAAGGAGAAACTGGTCTTAATACTTGGGCCCAGAGAACAGTATCAAAACAGCAACTTTATGGGTCAGAGTAGTTCACAGCATCATCCTAAGCACACATAAGTCAGCAGGGAGCCCTGGGCTGCATCCCAGGACTCATGCTAATCAAAGTTGCTAAAATCCCCAGGGTGGCCTCAAAACAGCTCCTTTCAGAAAAGGATTGTCCTGATTTCCAGGGAAAGTCTTATAACACTTCAGCCTTAAATTTTCCGATTGTGGCAAGTTCCGTTATTATAAGAAAAATTATAAGTGAAAGGCCATGTTCTAAAGTGATTCACTGACTTGTCCCTGGAGGAAGGAACTGTGAGTTAATGGGGAGTGGTTAGTGGGAAGTGAAAAGACCCATTTGGTTTGGGATGGGAGCCCTGCTGGACTCACAGACTGAGTGTGGACACCCCTCCGGGTGGGGCCCTGCCTCTACATAGGCAAGGGGGTGACGTAATGATTTCCTTTTTCAATTCTCCTTAGCCAAGAAATTTATTAAGAATGTATTCCTGATTCACTGAGTTACCATCTTAATTGCTTCAATTTCTCCAGATTCAGAACTTACAATCCATTTTAAGATTGCATTGATTCCTACTACAAAAATGATACAGTGGTTATGATAGAAAATTTTTGAAGTATACAATAGAAGAGAAGAAAGTAACTTCTGACCCAGTCAACTTGAGATAACCATCTTAGATTTTTTCCTATGAAAAAATTACACTCAATTTTATTGGATGGAATATAGTAGAAGGAAAAGAAAATAACATACTAAAAGCATTGCTGGAATTCAGATAACTCTTCTTCAGAAAGAGAAATATTGGTCCCTACAAGATTCTCCTAAAGTTTGAAATATGAGTGTATGTGTCTTTTGTGTTGTGTTTTAAAGTCTTCATTTGTTTTAGCCATATTCTATTTTATGCAAGACAGTGGCTAAGAGTATGGGAGAAATTATTCACTGTGTAATTCTGTAGGTGAAATAGTCTTCATTCACATGGGTATTTGTGATTTATTCCTGTAACATGCATTTATAAGTTGAGATCACATCCTAGAATGTAGCTTTTTCTTATTTCTCTATCATTTAAAGATAGAGGTAAGAAAGAGGGAAGCGTATTTCTTTTCCTTAGTGGCTGGATAAGAGCTTTAGGTCAGATCTCTAGTGGTTCAAACAAAAGAAAACAAATCTCTCTCATTCTCTAGACTCTTGGCTTTTGCCTAAATATGATTTATAAAACTGAAGCGTTGCTAATCTTTAAACAACACCTGAGGGATATGATTTTCCAACACCCTTAATACATTTGACAATAGAACGTTACAAAACACTTACTTTTGTTTCATGCTCCTTCTTGCAAAGAACTTCCAGGAAAATGGATAATTTAAAAGTAGAGTGCTCATGGACTTCCCTAGTGGCACAGTGGTTAAGAATCCACCTGCCAATGCAGGGGACGCGGGTTCGACACCTGGTCCAGGGAGATGCCACATGCCGTGGAGCACCTAAGCCCGTCTGCCACAACTACTGAGCCTGCGCTCTAGAGCCTGTGAGCCACAACTACTGAGCCCATGTGCCACAACTACTGAAGCCCTCGTGCCTAGAGCCCGTGCTCCGCAACAAGAGAAGCCACCATAATGAGAAGCCCTCGTACCGCAAGGAAGGGTAGCCCCCGCTCGCCACAACTAGAGAAAGCCCACGCGCAGCAATGAAGACTCAACGCAGCCAAAAACAAACAAACAAATAAATAAATAAATAGTTTTTTTTTAAAAAAGTGGCGTGGTCCAATATATACACTACCAAATGTAAAATAGATAGCTAGTAGGAAGCAGCCGCATAGCACAGCGAGATCAGCTCGGTGCTTTGTGACCACCTAGAGGGTGGGATAGGGAGGGTCAGAGGGAGATGCAAGAGGGGATATGGGGATATATGTATACGTATAGCTGATTCACTGTGTTATACAGCAGAAAGTAACACACCATTGTAAAGCAGTTATACTCCAATAAAGATGGTAAAAAAAATTAAATAAATAAATAAAGAGTAGAGTGGTGGAAAAAGAAGGAAATAGTTTCTTACTTCAAAAAAGTTACTATTAGCAATGTTTCTCTTCTCTAAGAGAGGATGTAGACTAAAGCATTTTACATGTATGTTTACTTTTCATAAACTTCCTAAGTGCCAACCACGGTAGAATTCTTATAAAATGCCTCTGTGTTTTGAAATCCAGGTAATCCTCAAAATTAATGCCCTAAAATATAATTTCTCAGTTTAGATGGAAAATTGGCTCTGTCACTTTTATGACAGGGATTTAAAAAAATTATCCAAGAAAGCCTGGTCGTTCACAGAACACTTTAACTAGCTTGTCCTATAGGTGTTTTAGTCCTCCTTTTTATATAGGGTTGGCCAAAAAGTTTGTTCGGGTTTTTCCGTAAGATGTTGTGGAAAAACCCAAACGAACTTTTTGGCCAACCCAATACTTTGTATTCATACATGAAATTGCTTTGATTTTTTAATTTATTGTTTAAACCTGCATACGATATGACAAGCACTTTACATTACCACATCACATTGAATTCTCACAAAACTCTACAAGGTTGAACAACATTAATTAACAGGCCCAGAGTCACAATTGCTAGTAAGAGGTAGAGGCAAGACTTTAAAGCAGTCAGACTCCAAATATGTGGCCCAATTGAGAGCCCCAAGGCTGTGCCAGGACCTACCTGGTAACCTATCTGTAGCTGTGCCACGACATCCTAACTTGGTTGGTTGAAAACGAGGACATCATTCAACGTCCTGGCATTTCACAAGAACGATGTGCTGAAAGTCTTTTTTTTTTTTTCCAGGGAAGCTTGGATGCAGTTCTCCCGGTATCCATGGTACTGGCCCCATCGCAGAAGACGTGAGTCTCCTTGCTGCCGCTCTGCGGATTCAGGTTTGTCTGACACAGCTATTTGAGAATTTTTGAGTTTGGAGCTTCAGTGAATAGTTGCCAACATTTGGAAGTGTTGCCTGTTTAGCAGACGCAGTGTCAAACACTTTACAAACATGATGTCATTTAATTCTCACAACAATCCTGTAAGATAGTGTTATTCCCATTTGCTAGATGAGAAGATGGAGACTTGGAAAATTTAAGTTACTTGCCTTTGGTCACATGACAAGTATGGGGCAGGGACCCACATCAGGGTCCTCTATTAGTTATCTATTGATGTGTAATAAATTACCCCCCAGATTTAGCCATTTAAAACAACAAACATTTATTATCTCAGTTTCTGTGGGTCACATACTTGGAGCCGCGTAGCTGGATGGTTCTGGCTTGGAGTCTCTCATGTGGTTGAAATCAAGATGGCGGGGCCCTAGTCATCTGAAGGGCTTGACTGGGGCCAGAGGAGTCAAGATGGCACCCTCACATGGCTATTGGCATGTGGTACTTAAACCCTCTTTGGCTATGGGCAGGATGCCTTTGTTCCTCATCACCTGGATTTTTCCATGGGGCTGCTCACGATGTGGCAGCTGACTTCCCCCAGAATGAGGGATCAAAGGAGAGAGCAAGGAGGAAACTGCAGTAGGTTTTATGACCCAGTCTCCAAAGTCACATGCCACCACTTCCTCTTTTCTTCTTTGCTAGAACTGAGCCACCAATGTAGTTCACAACCCAGGGAAAGGGAATTGGGCTCACCTCTTGAAGACAGGAGTGTTAAAGAGTTTGTGGACATCTTTTCGAACCACCGCTATCTGTGTGACCTAAAGCCCAAGGTCTCCGGCTCCCCACTCCTGTGCGCTAGGCTGGTGCTGAAGCCTGCAGTGCGGGTGCCGGCCAGCAGAGGCGTTAAGTAGCAGTAGGGAAACCGGAGCCTCTAATTAAACAGAAGCAGGTTTTAGTTCATTTCTTTCTTAATACATGCAATACACAATTAAAAATTTTACTTCAAAATGGGACGTAGTGCATTTCTGTGAGGCATCTGTGTTACATTGCAACTAAAGGCAAATATTATTTCTATATATATGTGTGTGTGTGTGTGTGTATGTATATATATATGTGTGTATATATATATATGTATCACTGATAATTCGGTTTGCTTGTTCTATTATATCAACTGTAGAAGGATTATGCTTGCAATGGTGCAGATTTTTGGTGAAGCTGGGCATCCCAGCTAGCCTGTCATGCATTCTCATGTTTCCCTCATTTTTCTTCTCTGAGGTGATGCTATAATTGTAATCCATGTACTTGATGCCTTTAGTGAATACAAACTTTAATAGTACTTGTATCTCACATTTTCTTTTTTAAGAAAAATCTGCACATTTAACTACATGTGAATAAAATTAGTCCTGGTGTTCACTTGGATTACTGTGCAACTTATACTCCTTTTCATGACAATATCCCTGAACGATATTCGATATTTTCATAGTTTAGATGTGTAACCTGTCAGCTTTTACTTTTCTAACATGCTTTCCTTCCTATCCCTATTGAAGAACATGGTTAGTAGCAGAAGGAGATGGTTCTGTGAGCAGCAGTACAGGAGGTGGAGACTTCACTGCTTGAAACTTCAGCCTCTGTCCCCCGTACCAAGGTATTCAGGTGATTTGTTTATACTGACATCGGCTCACCAAAGTGCCTTAGATATCCAAAGTTACCCATTGGATGGGGGCACAACTTGTGGTGTTATGGCTTTCATGGTGGATAATTTTCTCTAATCGAATTGCTGCACTATTTTTTCTCCTTTTTTCTTTTTTTTTTTTTTTTTGGGCCATGCTGTGCGGCGTGCGGGACCTTATTTCCCTGACCAGGGGTCGAACCATGCCCCCGGCATTGGGAGCGCAAAGTCTTAACCACTGGACCGCCAGGGAAGTCCTGCTGCACCATTTTTTTCTGTCATTTAATTCCTCCAAAATTAAATGATAATGAACATGTTGACCATATTCTGTCAGTTCTAAGATGTAGATTTTTTTAGTTTCTGAAATCAGGATGCACCTTATTGTCAATGATGTACCCTGTATTCAGTGGCAGTGTTTTTTCTTAAAATAATGGTATCTTAGATTTGACAGAATACGGTAATGTCATATTTGGAATATGCTTTTCAGTGTTAGAAATGCCCAACACACACGTCAGCTTGGTCTTCAGGGCCTTGTAGGTTTCTACGCTGTGGGTAAATGACCAACCAAACCAAACGCCATTAGACGTGGGACCGGAGCTCTGCCTTCTTCAGAACGTGGTGGTATCTGCTCTCTGACAGGACACTCTGGGAGGGTCCAGATGGATATTTTCTTCAGCGTGGTGTTTAATGAAGTGTAAGCTACATATTCCCTCTATATACATTTGGAAATACAAACTGCAGGACAGTCTCAGCATGTGATTTTGGAACAGTTCGCTAGATAAGCTATCTGAGCCAGGCAAATGCATTTTCCAGCCTCGTAGTGAATCCCCCATGGCCACCCCTCCTCCTGTGAATTGGCCCAATCCCCTTCCTACAGGACGCCCATAAGTCCAGCGCTTAACCAGGTGATGTTGTCTGCCAGCATGGAATACACAGGATGTAGGAGATAACACCACCCGGAATTGACTCATTTTTCACTTGATAACCAGTTGCTTTTCAGAATTGACCTCTGTTTCCTTGGGCCACAAGCCCAACACTAAGGTTCGATTATACCCACCAGGCTGGTGAAGCCCTCCAAGCTATGTTTTCACACCTCAAATAGACTAAGCGTCTTAGTCATCTTCTGTGTTCATTAATACATAAATTCCAAGGAATGTTCTTTGTAATATCATCTCTGTAGTTGTGCAGTCTGTTTCATAAAATAGTTTTTGAGGTTACTTATGTTGTTATGGAACCTTCATATTTAAAAGTCAATGAGTAAATTCTACTTACAGAGAGCTGAAAAAAACTTGAGAGGGACTCAGCCAAATTGTGTACAAATCCAAATAAATTCCACTTGGGGGGAAAAGCCCCTAAATTGCTTAACCAAATTTGACTCCTACAGCCACTGGGGAAAGAAAGGCAGGCTGAGTAGTTTATAAATCACTCAGAAAATCAAAATGATGTCACCATCACTCTTCAGCTAGTGAAGAGAAAACCGTGGAGGTTTTGCAAGAGTAGGCTCTTCAATTTAGGAGATTGTGGGAGGAGAGAAACAGAAAAAAAGGTGTAGTCAGGAAGGCGAAATGAAGTGGGAGCACGGACAGTGAAGGCTGGGGTGCAGTTGGTGGGGGGAGAATCAGAAAGGACAATGTAGGTGGACCTGGGAAAGGGGTTACCTAGCTGCAGGTACAGAGCTCCGCCCACATCTGGGCAGAGGCACCCTTCCCCCTCTCCCGCTCTAGTGGGCAGTGGAAGTAGGTTTACTGTTACCTCTTGCACCAAAGTCAGGCTCCATGGGGTCATGGAGGAGAACAGAGGGTAGTATGAGGACTGAGAGATTGTCTGTGGTAGCAACAGGAAAAAATAGAGCAGGGGGCTGCCTACCAGTGGAGAGACCGCTGCGCCGCCAGATAGGGGCCCCAGGGTGAATCAGGAAACTGCTGCATTGTCAGACATCAGCCCTCAAGACCAAGTCACAGACAGATGGATGGGCCAGACCCCCGATGAAAGAAGTGGCTGAGCTCAGGAGCCCCAAAAGACTCTCTGAGAAGTCTTTTGATTTTCATAGCACTCCTGTTAAGATGAGCTGCAGCTTGCACATCTTAACCAGTGACATAGAATAGTTGAGTTGTTTACCCAGTGACACTCTGGAGTTCCTAAAATTTCCTGTGTCTGAAGTTGAGCCTCAGGCACTAGCTCCATTTACCGACAGTTATGTGCTTAATGAAATATTTTGAAATCTGATTTTTGACTTGAGAGGGAAAATATGGACACAGATAAAACAAAAGAGTATTTCCACATTTTTGAATTGCCAAGAGACACATGTGGCTAGCCCAGTAATAAAGCATTATGCAATAACCCCTCTATTCCTGGTTAAGGAATTCAGCGATGACCCATAAAAAAACACTGTGCTCTATCATGGAGTTATCTTTAGGGGTGGCCTTTGGACACATGGTAATAATCCATCTCCTTTCCTATGGCAGAGGTGTATCCTGGCACCTGGGAAGAATTCTAGAATCTAGTTTTTAAGAGTTGCTTCTCTATCTAAAGCAATGTACCGTTTTCTTACGCACTTTAATTGTTAGCAGTTGTACTTAATCCTACTTGGGAAAAAGGACCACAAAGCCATTGGATCTAATTGTTGGCATGGTGTACGGCTGTTTTCTACTCAAACAGCGACCACCTAAGCTGAGCAGACTCTCTTACCTCTTATGTTTCCCCACCCAGTGATATCGAGATTTCAAGAGCACAGACTCCAAAAGCTGTGGATATCCTTGCCAAGGAGATAGGGTTGCTTGCAGATGAAATTGAAATCTATGGCAAAAGCAAAGCCAAAGTCCGTTTGTCCCTGCTAGAAAGGTTAAAGGATCAAGCAGATGGAAAATACGTCTTAGTTGCTGGGTAAGACTACTTTTAAAATCTCTTTCACTGAGAAGATGTTTATAAAACTCTCTTCCCTGTTTGTATCTGTCACCACACCCCTCAAATCCATCCTCTTCTCCAGCCTGACATTATTTTGTCCATTTCCCTTGGCAGTCCTTCATTTGACATGAGGTAAGTTTTTATTTTTAGTGTAAAACAAATGAGTCTCCTCCACAGAATATACAGTGTAACGAGTTCCTAATCCAGGACTTTGCTTTTTGTTTCCCATATTGTGTTTTGATCACCCTGGTTCTGCCTTGGATTTTTCATTTCGCTTTTCATGATAAAAATTAAAAGAAGAATTGAAAATAAAATATTTTGAGCTGAATGGGTTGTTTTCCTACTTAGAAATAACATTGGAAAATGAACGGATCATTGTGTGAGACTTAGACTTTTTGATTAGTATCCTTAATATTTATGACTTTGCATTACAAAAACTCATCTCTCTTTCTTGCATTTCAGAATTAATATTGGGCCATTTACATTTGTGTTGCTCGTTTTACAAAAGGCAAATGCACAGTTTTTGTGAAAAGGAGCCCTTTGCTTTATTTTGCCTCTTTTTTAAAAAAAGAAATACATTCATCAGCTGAAAAACAATAGAAAACAAGGGATTTCAAATATTTATTTAATGTGAGCATTAGGAGCATGCGAGGGAGCATTAGGAGACTGTATAACTTCCTCTGTTGTCTTGAAATGTCATTGCACTGACTTACTAATGATATATAGGCCAAGGCTTGGGGCACAAAACCCTATTTGTTAACAGGCAGAGACATTTTTGTAACTGGACTTGACTTACAGTTAGCTTGGTTTTTACATATCTGATTATTCATGTAAGTGCTTTATTTCTTTTTCTGGTTATAAAAGTCATGCATACTTGTAAAACTATTTGAAAAATACAGAAAGTAAAAGCAAGAAAGTGTAAACGGCTGTTCACATTTGAGACCATCTTGACACAGAGGCAGTCTGTCATAAATGAGATCATTGTACACATGCTATATTCTGTAAGCAACTTGATTATTTAACAATATGTTGTATACCTAGCTCCATGTGAGTCAGGATAGAGCTATGTTATCATTTTGCATGACTACCTGACATGCTACTGCTCACATCCCAGATTCTTCAATGTGCTGGGGGATAGGGCTTGGGGTGGGGGGTGGTAAAAATGCCTGGGATGAGGGTGGGTTCCATTCTACACATCTTCCCAGCACCAAGAAACATAGCTGTGGCTCAGCCACTGATAGTAAATCATGTTTCTAATTCTTCTTCAAGTGTATTAAGGCAGAAAAAAGGTTTGAAGATATCATAGAGATGTCCCACAATTTATTTAACCAATTCTCTATTGATGGGCTCTCAAATTGTCCCCCATCTTTGGCCATTGTAAGCAGTGCTGAAATTAACAACCATGGGCATGCTTATTTGTGCATTTATCCAATAATCTGCTTAGGAAAAATCCCTAGAGATGAATTCAATTTTTCATACCTACAAATAAAAATAAAACTACAGATAAAGCAAGATAGCATCCATAATATCACCTCTTTAATGGTATAATAATTTCTTCATATCTCTTCCCCTTTTTCCTTTAGCCTCCCTCTGCCCCCCCACCTCACCCCCCCATCCCACCCCCCAGCTCCTCTTTCCCCATCTCCTTCTGTTACTGTTTTCTAAGAGGGATGGACAGCTAGAGTCATTCGGTGGCTGTGTTTTTGAGGAATTCATACCTTGCTGCAGCACCTCAGTTGCCTGTGGCTTAAACCTCTCTCAGACTTCCAGGTTCACCACCGCTGGATTCCCAATCCTAATGGGATGCTCTCCAGCCTAGGACCCCAGCCCTGATGTCCCCATAACTGAGCTGTAGGAAACCTCTTTGAGGGGAGATTTGGCCTCACCTGAGGCACCCTCTAGGGGTAGATCTGTGAAAGGAGCTGGCTGACGGCAGGGGGTGGGTACTCCTGGGTCCCAGAGTTTGGATCAAACATCTAGTCAGTCAGTGTTGCTTTTCTGGAAGTGTGCTTCATGCAAGTTTGTTTACAGTGAATAAATTAACTCTGAGACGTTAAGAACTTCAGAAGCAAATTTAGCATCTTATCCACAGATTTGCTTCCCTTCTTCCAGGATTTAGGTGCTCTTGGTAAGTGGGTTTGCTGGTTTTCTCACCCTGTTTAAGGTAGGAAGAATTAGGAAGACTCAGGAGGATGTGGTCTTAGTTTACGAAGGAAGAATCATGCAGCCATTTTTCACATGGAAGGGCTGTGATTTACTCTTTGGGCTTGTCAGTATTGGAAATAAAAGCACAAATCTAGACATGGCCCTGCCCTTCACTGGGAACACAGAATTGATACTTGTAAAACAAAACCTGTGATGGTATTGTTATCAGATTCCAAACCTGAAGTCATAACCTGGCCTCCAGCCACATGCCAGAGAGTGACCGCCAGCCTGGCCGCCTAGATTGCCACTACGTGTTGGTCCATACCCAGTAGAACATCATTCCACTCTGTCTCTGCTGGCCTTTACGTGCGTAACTGATCGGAAGAAGCCAGGCTGCCATGTCATACGTAGAAGCCAAAAGTAAACCTGAATTCTCAAGTACAGATTTAACCCAAGGACGTCAACAGTTCTTTTTCTGAAATTGTGGTATAAATTCCCTTACATAACGAAGACCTATGAAGGAACAAAAATCAAATTGTGTTGCTTTCACCTGCATTGAAAAAGAAGCTGGGGCTTCCCTGGTGGCGCAGCGGTTAAGAATCTGCGTGCAAACACAAGGGACACGGGTTCGAGCCCTGGTCTGGGAAGATCCCACGTGCCGCGGAGCAGCTAAACCCGTGCGCCACAACTACTGAGCCTGTGCTCTGAGCCCGCGAGCCACAACTACTGAGCCTGCGTGCCACAGCTACTGAAGCCCGTGCGCCTAGGGCCCATGCTCCACAACAAGAGAAGCCACTGCAATGAGAAGCCCGTGCACTGCAACGAAGAGTAGCCCCCACTCGCTGCAACTAGAGAAAGCCCGCGCACAGCAACGAAGACCCAGTGCAACCAAAAATAAATAAATAAAAAAAATAAATTTTTTTTAAAAAAGAGAAAGAAAAGCTGTGAGGGTAGGATTTTGAGATGTATATATGCATCTGTCTCAGAGCTTAGAGGTTTTTAGAAAAGACATATAACAGTGTATTCTATAAGAGAGGAATGAACTCCCCTCACCAACACAACAAGAGATATTTTTTAAGTGTGTAAACTGCCTTTGTTACCTAATCTTCTGATAGCTGGATGTTTGAAATCACTTTAAAACAGCAAGACAATCATTTATAATCTAAAATGAAAACTTCATTTGAAATAAAATCACCTTTAATTTTTGTCAGGTCAGTTTTGGAAAAGTGACATTATCAAGCCCTTATACGCATGGTTGCAACTTCTTAAGAAATATGAATTACCCGTCCACATAATTCAAAAAGAGTCATGTACCACAATGTATATTGCAGCACTATTTACGATAGCCATGACATGGAAGCAACCTAAGTGTCCATCGACAGATGAATGGATAAAGAAGATGTGGCACGTGTATACAATGGAATATTACTCAGCCATAAAAAGAAACGAAATTGAGTTATTTGTAATGAGGTGGATGGACCTAGAGACTGTCATACAGAGTGAAGTAAGTCAGAAAGAGAAAAACAAATACCGTATGCTAACACATATATGTGGAATCTAAAAAAAAAAGTTCTGAAGAACCTAGGGGCAGGACAGGAGTAAAGACGCAGACGTAGAGAATGGACTTGAGGACATGGGGGGGGTGAAGGGTAAGCTGGGAGGAAGTGAGAGAGTGGCATGGACATATATACACTACCAAATGTAAAATAGAGAGCTAGTGGGAAGCAGCCGCATAGCACAGGGAGATCAGCTCGGTGCTTTGTGACCACCTAGAGGGGTGGGATCAGGAGGAGATATGCGGATATATGTATATGTATAGCTGATTCACTTGGTTATAAAGCAGAAACTAACACACCATTGTAAAGCAATTATACTCCAATAAAGATGTTAAAAAAAAACAACGCAAAAAAAAAAGCATAACTCAAAAAAAGAAAAAGGATGTGGTACATATATACAATGGAATATTACTCAGCCATAAAAAAGAACGAAATAATGCCATTTGTGGCAACATGGATGGACCTAGAGATTGTCATACTGAGTGAAGTAAGTCAGATGGAGAAAGACAAAAATCATATGATATCACGTATATGTGACATCTAAAAAAAAATGATACAGATAAACTTATTCGCAAAACAGAAATAGAGTCACAGATGTAGAAAACAAACTTGTGGTTACCAGGAGGGAAAGCGGGTGGGAGGGATAAATTGGGAGATTGGGATTGACACATAGACACTACTATATAAAAAATAGATAAGTGATAAGGACCTACTGTATAGCCAGGGAGCTCTTCTCAATACTCTGTAATGACCTTTATGGGAAAAGAATCTTAAAAAGAGTGGATATATGTATATGTATAACTGATTCACTTTGCTGTACAGCAGAAACTAACACAACATTGTAAATCAACTATACTCCAATAAAATTTTTTTTAAATAATAAAAGAAAAATAGATGGCTAGTGGGAAGCAGCTGCATAGCACAGGGAGATCAGCTCTGTGCTTTGTGACCACCTAGAGGGGTGGGATAGGGAGGGTGGGAGGGAGACCAAGAGGGAGGGGATATGGGGATATATGTATATGTATAGCTGATTCACTTTGTTATAAAGCAAAAACCAACACAACATTATAAAGCGACTATACTCCAATAAAGATGTTAGGGAAAAAAAGAAATATAAATTACCAGTCCATTAAATGATTTTTTTCCTTTTTTCTGAAAGTTTTTTTTTTAATCTGAAAATAATAGTGACCCATTGAATAAAAATTTAGCATAAAGAAAAGTAAAAAGAAGGAGAAAACGAAATCTCTCATTACACAGAAGTATTCAAAATTTTTATAT